AGTAAAAACATTTTTTAAAACAGTATATTTTTACATATATGAAATGCTTCAGGTTGAAAAACAAAGAACAAAAGTAGCAGATACAAAACCGTTAGACTATATCTTCACAAATGCCGGTAGGACTATATCAGATGAAGAAATTTCATCCCGTTCTTACAGGTTTGACTATCCAATTCGTTGGCTTCAAAGTCCTTCAGATGCAAAGGCAATAGGATTTAGAAGAGTTTTGTTTTCAAATAGAACGAATGCCTTCATGTTCGCAGTATATTTTCATGGTCAGTATAAAGGTTCTGATGGTCTAATAGAAAAATTTGACGAAATGAAAATCTTTACAGTTCGTTCAGACGAAAGTCTTGAGAAAACTCTAAATGACTTTCAAACTCAAATGAACAAATACTACTGGGAATTTCAAGAAAAATACCACTCTTTACTAAATGGAACATACTATCTGAAACTAGAATATGACAAGATGAACTCCACAGTTTCATTTCAAAAGATTGAAATTAACCCTCCAAGAGATACAGAGTTTTTATTTTGGAAAGTAGACAAACGTTCTTGGGCACAATTTCTTCGGTTACTAAACCAGAACGAACCATTACCACCAGATGGTCCATTTAATTTTATACTTCCACCAGCAGATTTGACAGTTTATAGAAACGTGTTTGACCCTCAAAATGTCATGTGTCATGCAAGTTTCAGTTCAAGCAACAACAGTTTTCTTTGTATTGGTAAGGACTTTTATGACTTTGCTTCTAAATTCTACGAACCACCTAGTAACAGTTTCTCTGACTTTCAAGTTTGGTTCACAACAAACGGTGTGCAGCATATTATTCCATTGTACTATGACTTTTATCTCGAATTGTCTTTCATATACAACTACGGAAAAGTGCTGAAAAAGTATTGAAAAATGAGTTTTGGTTAGATGTTTTTTTAGGTGTGCCTATGTGCCCATGTGCCTCGGTCAAATGAACTTCTCTGAAAAAGTGTGACAACACGACATTTTGACAACATCGTAGAAAACACACAAAACTCATGAATTTTGTGCTGAAAAAGCAACCGCCGGAATTCCGGCGGTTGGTATATTCTTCATAAAATGCTTGTTTTGAGGTCGAGCCACAAACGAATGTCCGACGGTTAAGCCACTCAAAAATATTTTTTATTTTTATTGTAAGAACAGAAATGACAGTCGAAGCAAAAACGTTCACGAACAAATCTAATGGCGAAACATTCACAAAAGGCACCTATAACGGTATTGAAGTCTTACGTAGAGACAAGGATGGTTATATAAATGTAACAAATATGTGTCAGCAGTTTAGGAAAGACTTTAGAAAGTTGTTGGAAAATAAGTCCTGGGAAGAGTATTATACGGCATTTTGTGAAGAATATACCAACCGCCGGAATTCCGGCGGTTGCTTTTTATACAAAGTTCATGCAGGAATTCCGGATGAAATCAAACAGGTTAGAGGAACGTATGTAGACCCAAGACTCGTAAACTATATAGCAATGTGGGCTTCTCCAAAATATTGTATAGCAGTTGGAAAAATTCTGGACTCCATAGACAAGAAAGTTCATGAGAAATTAGATGAAGAAGAACTTGAAGATACAGTAGAGAATGCAAAACCTTTGTTCGAAGAAGAAGTTAGAAAAATGCATGAAAAACAAATAGAACATGAACGTGAGATATGTTCTGGTTATAGAGACTCTTCATACGAACTAGACCAATGGGAACAAGAAGATTTAAAGAGAGAATTTAGAGAATATGAACTCGCTAAAATTTCATTAGAAGCTGCAGAAGAGAGGTTAAAAGTTTGGGGTCCTTTTGTACAAAAATATTGTGAGTAAATGAACCATTTTTTTTTATTGAATTCGGCAAAAATATATTTTAGGTGGAACCAGGTCACCAGGTCACCAGGTAATTTTAACTTCTCTGAAAAAGTGTGACAACATGACATTTTGACAACAGTCCAGGAAACACGCAAAACTCTTGAATTTTGTATAAAAAAAGCAACCGTCGGAATTCCGGCGGTTGGTATATTCATCACAAATGCTTGTTTTGAGGTCGAGCCAAAAGTGGCCCCACCGTATTTTTCAACCAAAACTCTTGAATTTTGGTGCTGAAATATATTTTAGTTTTTTTTAAAAAAAATATTTTTTTATTTTTATTGTAAGAACATGTTAGCAACAACAGCACCAAACTCTTTAGTCATGAACCCAACTTCAATGTTAGTAGAGATGAAAAGCTTCATTCCTTCTTCATATACTTTCGAAACAGAAATCCAGAAGATAAAGCAAGAACTTCTCCAAGGAGATTTAGATTGCACTGCGAAAGATGAAACAAATGAAGAATATCTTTATGAAATGCAGGATATTATTGACCATCTACCTAAACTTCCTGAAATCCAACAACAAAAGCTCACTATTCCTGAATTCGATGAAATAGAAGTGAAACCAACTGACTCAGTTGAAACCAAGAAGTTCATACGTAAGGTAAACTATGAGTTTCTTGGATTTCATTGCAACCACAAAGACTGCGACATGGTATATTTCATGGACATATATAAATCGGAGGAGTTTAAGACCTACGACAACTTTGTTTCGTTAGTTGCTGAGTGTGTATGGCAGATAAGAGATGAAGATAGAAGAGGTAAAGTATGGAACGAACAAATAAAACCAGCAGCCTTTGAGTTAAAGAAAACCATTTACGCCTTAGTCATACTTGCAGGTAAGGTTTCAGAATATAACGCTAAAATGAACCCACAATGTTCAAAATGTAAAGCAGCAACAAGGAAATATAACTACTCCGTCAAAGAGATAGAACGTATGCGAAAAGACTACACTGACTTAAAGAAAGAAGCAGAGAAACCAGCAGAAGATAAAATGGACATGTTGACATTTCTGAACAAAAACTATCCAACAGCTGACGATTTCCTTCTTTCAGATGTCAAGAAGAAATATAAAGAAACCTTCGGCATTGTTAAAACATTCGATGTACTGACAGAGGAAATCGAAGCCACAAAACTGTTTAGGATTAGTAGTATACATCGTACATACCATGTAAAACGCTTGTGAAACTTTATGGTAGAAATATATTTTTGTCTGATTTACGCTCATTGACAAAACATTTTGACAACATCGTAGAAAACACGCAAAACTCTTGAATTTTGTATAAAAAAAGCAACCGCCGGAATTCCGGCGGTTGGTATATTCTTCACAAAATGCTTGTTTTGAGGTCGAGCCATTTTTGGCTCCACCTGTTTTTTCAACCAAAACTCATTTTGTCTGATTTACGCTCATTGACGATGAAATCATGACAAAACATATACGATGAAATCTATTTCCTGTGTTGTTGTCAAAATGTCATGTTGTCAGTAATTTTAAGAGAAGTTCATTTGACCGAGGCACATAGGCACATAGGCACACCTAAATATATTTTTGCTGAAAAAAATGACCAAATTTCATGATATAACTGTATTTTTTTTACGAAGAGAACTTTTGCACTTCGTAAAAAAATGACGTTTACCATATACTACGCTTATGAAAATCGTGAAATTTTTACGAAGAGAACTTTTGCACTTCGTAAAAAAATGACGTTTACCATATACTACGCTTATGAAAATCGTAAAAAATTGCGTCCCTAGGAAAACCGAGGAACGCCTAAAACTCATGAAAATCGTCAAAAAACTCTATGAAATCATGAATTTCCTCAAGATAGAAAAAATAAAAAAATAACGCTAGTTTTTTAAAATATTTTTTTTATTTTGTATGTAAGAACAGGAAATGACAAACACTGAGTTTGAAACAGTTAAAAAGATTGACAATGAGACCAAAGTGGTTAGAATAGGTGATTTAAACGTAAGATACTCAAAGAAATACAAAAAATATTCTTTGTCAGACATTATATCTCCATCTGGAAAGAGAGCAAGCGACTGGGTTAGAAATGCTTCAACTCAGAAAATTTTGACAAGAAATCCTGAGCTTTTGATATCGGTAAGATTCTATGGAACTACAGCATATCTTATAGACAAAAGTCTTATACCGATAGTTTTGTTATGGTTAGACCCAGTTGTTGGATATAATTTCATAACATATGGTTCATTCGATACGGAACGTTGCAGTGAGGCTTACTTTACATCGTTCAGAAACCGAAGGACTTCAATACAAAGAGATATAAGATAGGAAGAACATATAATATAACTCAAAGATATGACAGTACAGTCAATAGAGTTAAGGTTGTGTTCGTTAACGATATGAGAGCTGCAGAAACAGAACTACTTGAAAAGTTTGAGAAAAGGTATGGTGCTCCCACGAAAGGTAAAGAAACGTTTGAAGTAGATGAGATAGATAGTGCTATAAAATTATTTGACGAAGTTGCTGAAAAATACATGTAAAGCGTTTATTTTTGGTCTTGACTTCAGATGGCTCAGGTAGCTCTATAAGGTAAATTGTCTTGTCCGAGTCCTTCTGGCATTCCGAGTCCTTCCTTCCGACAGGAAAAAAATTTCCCGACAACTGGAAGAACTCTTCCTTCCAACAGGAAAAAATTTTCCTTCCGACAGGAAGAACTCTTCCTTCCAACAGGAAAAAATTTTCCTTCCGACAGGAAGAACTCTTCCTTCCAACAGGAAAAAATTTTCCTTCCGACAGGAAAAAATTTTCCTTCCAACAGGAAAAATTTTTCCAGTTGTCCGTCCGTAAACCATTCAAATTTTCGAAAATTGAGAACTTTTTGGTCGAACGACAGGAAAAGTTTTTCCTTCCAACAGGAAAAGTTTTTCCTTCCAACAGGAAAAGTTTTTCCTTCCAACAGGAAAAGTTTTTCCTTCCAACAGGAAAAGTTTTTCCTTCCAACAGGAAAAGTTTTTCCTTCCGACAGGAAAAGTTCTTCCTTCCGACAGGACACAAACGAATGTCCGACGTACCACCAACCGAGTCCATTCCAAAGCCAGAAGAACCGACAGCCCCAGCACCACAACAGACTAAGACTCAAACACTTACATTTTTTACGCTTGACTTTTTACAATTTGAACTTTGTTTGCGTAGATATGAATTCTGAAAGAAGTATGAGGGTCTTGTATGACTTTGTACTTCTCCCATAGTTCATGTCTGTCAAACTTACCTGCCATGGACTCTTTCATAAGTTCCATGAAATCGTCTTCGGACAATCCGGGGAAAAGTACAATGTCAGTAAGTATTCTCTTTACATCCTTACTTAAACTCTTGGCTGTCTGTACACAAATGACAACTGAGATGTTAAAGTGTCTGAGCTTCTTAAGAATTCGACACATGTCTTGTTCTCTATTCTTTAACAAAGGATGAGAAGCAAAGTCATCTAAGATAAGAAGACATCTGTGAGGGTAAGTCTTCCAATCGTAAGATTGCAATTTCTTCGAAATGTATTCTATCTCTTTCTGTTTGTTTCTGAAGTGTTTCTTCTCTAATATTCTCTGCATTTCCTCATTTGGGTCTTTAAACTTCGAATTTATATACTCATTTATAGCATTGTACTTCAAAACTCTTCTTTGGTACTTCTTTATCCAATCTAACAACTCAGTATCTTTTATACATACTAACTTAGACTTTTTTATAATATCTTTGAACGAATTTACGGTTTGGTCAAATTGACCAGAAGTACTACAAATGACAACTAACTCATAGAATGGGTTCTTCTCATCTAGTTCTTGTTGTTGTGCAGCCATTTTAAGATAAGTGAAAGTCTTACCAGACCCAGGCGGTGCAATTAGACCTGTTATACCATTCTGAGCAAATAAGAACTTGTCATGTATGGGTTTTATCTGAGCATTTTCCAACTTCCTCTTGTTCTTGTTTAAAACATTCTCAAATTTCTTGTCAATGTCAGCAAACTTTTTTTCTAACATATTTTTAGAAAAATTAAAACTTTTATCTTTTACAAAATGTCTAGCGATTTCGCTATCTATATTCGAGACAAGCTTTTCGACAGCAAAACATCTGTCGACCATAAAATCTTACATAGTGTAAACAAGAAAGGTGAATTTGTTCTAAAGTTCTGTTTCTGGGAATATGACAAGAACCATAAAACATTAAGCAGAGCAGTCTTAAAATTTGTCAATGACAGACTTGTTGACAGAGATGACGCCTCTTGGAGAGATGAAGTCCAACAAAACTTCTTAGAATGCAAAGAAGACACATGCGCTGTTCTTGAAGATGAAATAGAAAACAGAATAGAAGAGCTATTAAAGGACAAAGAACTTTTACAAAAATATGGTTCTGAGAAGTTTGACATAACTCCACCAGAAAAGAAGAAGAGAGAAAAGAAAGAAAAGAAAGTAGAAGAAGAGAAGAAAGAACCAGAGCCAGAGCCAGTTCCACCGAAGAAGAAATTTGACATGTAAAAATAAAATTTTATTTTTAGAACATTTCTGGGTCAATGTCAATGTTCTCTTCCTCTTTAGGAGTAAACACTGGCTTAGACTCTAAAATCTTTTTACCCAATTTACCTTGAACTTCTACAACTTTAGACTCATAATATTCATAGTCGTCTGCTTTCTTTGGTTCATAAGGTATAACAAGTTTGTATGCTTTGCCTTCTTTAAGGTTTGAAAACCTTCTGTCAAAACTTTCTTTGACTGTTAACAAACCTTCTATGTCTAAGTCTTCAAATTTCGCACCATTTTTAGTCACAATAGCAAACTTAACCGGTTCGATGTTCCAAACTTTGTCAAATGTAGACTTTTCAAAATGGTAGAAGTAAACATTCAAATATGTGAATGGGTCTAGTTCTTCTTTAAGTCCTGACATGTACTTGTTGACTGAGATGAATTTTGCCATCTTTTCTATCGGATAAAAAAATATTTTTTTTTAAAAATTTACTCAGAAAAATTTTTCTTTGTATATACACCATTCTGTATGTCTAAAAGACTTTTGACATTTGCCAAGAATGTACGTTTAGAAGCTGCCATATAACCATACTCTTGACAATACTGTTTATACGAATCGTACAATGACCTTTCATCTAAACACTCAAAGTCAGTTTCATCTATGAACAGTTCATATACACTCTTGTTTGCTTCTAACAATGTTTGTCTCTCTTCGGTATGTGGAATTTGTCTTGGATTGAACTTAGAAATATCTAATGTCATGAAATATGAGAACAAGTGGTTGTAAAAGTCAGATGTCAAAGTTTCTGCTAAGTCGTCAAAATATTCTGTATCTTGCATATGAGAATCTGACGTTCTGACAACTACATATCTTCTGTCAGAACTTTCTAACTTCATCGGAACAGCGTTGTTTGAAACCATGACGAAGTTTGCAACATTTTCACAAACTCTTTGGTCTTTATATTTTCTTTCAACAACTCCAACTTTGTCTGTTATAAGACTCTTCAACGCATCTGAGTTCAAAACTTTTGTTGTATCTATACTTTGAAGTTCGTTACATACTATAAGTTTCATATTCTCTATTGAGGAGTTAAACTTGCCACAGATGTTTTCTAAGTTTGTCATATTCGGATTCGAATAGCCCTCTAACAGTTTGCATAAGATATCTGTAAAGAAAGTGTTCTTACCAGTTCCTTGTTTTCCAATTATGATGAGAGCAGTTTCATTTTTAGCACTTGGATGTTGTAAGATGTTTGCAAACCAACATAAGATATACTCATAGACTCTTTCGTTTCCATTGCATATAATTTCTTTGACATGGTCTAACCAAGCTTCTATAACATTTTCTTTCCATTCTACTTGTTCGTATTTATATCCAGTGAAGATAGAATAGAAGTTTGGAGATGGTGTATAAAACTTTATACCACGAACTGAAAAATCTTCTAACTTTGACAATAAGATATCCCAAGCATCTAACATCTTCATACCAACTTGTACGACTTTTATTTTCTTAAGTTTCTGTCTACATTCTTGTTCTGAAACTATTGTTGCTCTTGGTTTGTTAAAGACTACATCCCATTCTTTCATGACATAACATTCTGGGGCAGAGTCGACATAAATGACTAAACGTTTCAAATTCTCGACTGCTTTGTTATAGTCTCTAAATGGACACATATTTCTGAAGGCTTGGAAGTCATAAAAATCTGAAACATCTATTCTGTACATTTTTATAAAAATAAAAAAAAATATTTTTTTTATTCTTGACTTTGTTGTTGCATTTGTTGTTCTTGAGCTATTTGTTGTTGAAGTTGTTCTTGTAGTACAATACTTTCACCAGTTGCATCTTCCAATTCGAAACTTTCTGCCGTCATTGACAAATACATAGGACATAAAAGTTTTACAGGAACAAAGTTTGCGTCAACTAAGGTTAAGTTTATGTTTGCTAAAGTGTTTGAGTTCACTAAAGCTGAAAACTCTGCATTCGTGTTATATACGAAAACGATAAAAACAGTTTGACAGAAAAGTGACAACTTTACGTGTCAAAAATATAAAAAGTGATATTTTATTCATCATTATCTTCTTCATAATTTATTTCATATTCTTCGTCTTACCAACAAAAGATGGGAATGTGAACAATTGCGGGCAATTTTTAGCCATTTTGGCTTGGAACTAGAGCCTGCGAGATACATGGATAGTATCAGTACCTCACAGGCTCTAGTTCTCTATATGGCGCCGAGAAATTTTGGTGAAATGTGGTCGCATTTCACCAAAATTTTTTCGGCGCCATAGGATGAATTGGAGGGTGAGAGATATTATTTCATACAATACTACTCTCACCCTCCAATTCCCAGCCAAAATGGCTAAAAATTGCCCGCAATGTGAACAATTGCGGGCAATTTTTAGCCATTTTGGCTTGGAACTAGAGCCTGCGAGGTACATGGATAGTATCAGTACCTCACAGGCTCTAGTTCTCTATATGGCGCCGAGAAATTTTGGTGAAATGTGGTCGCATTTCACCAAAAATTTTTTCGGCGCCATAGGATGAATTGGAGGGTGAGAGATATTATTTCATACAATACTACTCTCACCCTCCAATTCCCAGCCAAAATGGCTAAAAATTGCCCGCAATGTGAACAATTGCGGGCAATTTTTAGCCATTTTGGCTTGGAACTAGAGCCTGCGAGGTACATGGATAGTATCAGTACCTCACAGGCTCTAGTTCTCTATATGGCGCCGAGAAATTTTGGTGAAATGTGGTCGCATTTCACCAAAATTTTTTCGGCGCCATAGGATGAATTGGAGGGTGAGAGATATTATTTCATACAATACTACTCTCACCCTCCAATTCCCAGCCAAAATGGCTAAAAATTGCCCGCAATGTGAACAATTGCGGGCAATTTTTAGCCATTTTGGCTTGGAACTAGAGCCTGCGAGGTACATGGATAGTATCAGTACCTCACAGGCTCTAGTTCTCTATATGGCGCCGAGAAATTTTGGTGAAATGTGGTCGCATTTCACCAAAATTTTTTCGGCGCCATAGGATGAATTGGAGGGTGAGAGATATTATTTCATACAATACTACTCTCACCCTCCAATTCCCAGCCAAAATGGCTAAAAATTGCCCGCAATGTGAACAATTGCGGGCAATTTTTAGCCATTTTGGCTTGGAACTAGAGCCTGCGAGGTACATGGATAGTATCAGTACCTCACAGGCTCTAGTTCTCTATATGGCGCCGAGAAATTTTGGTGAAATGTGGTCGCATTTCACCAAAATTTTTTCGGCGCCATAGGATGAATTGGAGGGTGAGAGATATTATTTCATACAATACTACTCTCACCCTCCAATTCCCAGCCAAAATGGCTAAAAATTGCCCGCAATGTGAACAATTGCGGGCAATTTTTAGCCATTTTGGCTTGGAACTAGAGCCTGCGAGGTACATGGATAGTATCAGTACCTCACAGGCTCTAGTTCTCTATATGGCGCCGAGAAATTTTGGTGAAATGTGGTCGCATTTCACCAAAATTTTTTCGGCGCCATAGGATGAATTGGAGGGTGAGAGATATTATTTCATACAATACTACTCTCACCCTCAATTTTAATTACTTAAACTCATTCTATTTTTTTGACATGTAAATGTCACTTTTACTGAGATCTGACACAATGTCAGATCTCTTTTTTTCGTATATAAGATTCGAATGAACAATAGGCAAACCAGCAGAGAAAGTGTTGTTTATACGCATGAGTATCTTTTGGTCATAGTAGTTTCTGTCGACATTCGAATAACACTTTGAACCTAAGTTTGAAACAATATATAAAATAGGTGTGCTTAAAGTCAATGGAACAGACAAACCTTGTATGACACCTTTTCCTGTTATAGGAAACTGTTGGTAGTAAAAACCAGATATAAGTTTTGTATTATAGCTCATATCGTTTATAGTAAACTCGGTCGGACATCCAAACATAATGAAACCTGCTCTAGTTGCAGCACATGTTACATCCGTCCTTAAAGTATTAAATAAGTCAACAAAACCTGTTGGTGGTATATCTGAGTAAGTATCTTCAAAGGAGTATTTTTTACCATTCACAACAATAAAATCTTCTGGTGTCAAAAGAGCAAAACAAGCTTTAGTCGTCATTGTGTTTAAGGTTAGTTTACAATATCGTCCTTGAGGACTTTGTAAGTTTGTTGTTATAGAATTATATGACTCAGGGTTTTTAGTCGTAATAGTATAAACCACTATGTCTTCTGCCATTTACTTAGCAACTAAATTTTAATGAAATGTTGTGGTCGTCAAATATTTTTATAACGTCTGGGAAACTATATTTTAAGTTCAACGTTTCACCTCCTTTCATAACGTATATCTTGTCAATGACATTATATGAAACACCACAGCAAGCAATGTCGGGTTCTATTTCTTTGATGTTTATATCGTCTGCCTCTGTCAAAAGTTTCAATAGTTCTTTCAAAACTTCATGAGGTGCAATGACATATGAGTTCACTTTTACAGGGTTGTGCTCGACCAAGTTTAACATTATACCCAAAGCCTGACAAATCTTCTCCTGAGTTTTAAGTTTGTCTTTCAGTTGTTGGTAGTCATTTCGAATATCTGCAACAGAACTTAAGTCTCTGCTAACTTCAGGGTATGTTGGTTGTTCTTTTACAGGAACTATTGTTATACCATCTTCGTCCTCGTATGGTTTCCCCACTTCAACATCTCTTTCTTTGACATTGACAACAACACTTTGAGTGTTTGTTTGAGTTGGTGAATTTAACTTCACATCTGCCACCGCCATTAAACCTTTTGAAACACTTACGCTTCTATTTTTCGGAAATGACATTTTACTTAGAATAAAAAGATGGACGTATTCGAGTATCTCTTCGAATTGAAGCAGAACAAAGTTTACACACACAAACAGTACAAATACATTGACAGAATAGTTCTTTACACAAACAATGGAAAATGTTATAGAATAGCAGTCTTTGCTGAACCAAAATATTTTCATAAAGCAAAGAAAGTTGGTATAACTGAAATGGTGAAAGTTCTTGACGTTGACAAAAATATAACAACAAAACTGACCGATATTTCTAAAGGTAAGTTTATCTTACAATTTTATGTCAAAACTGGCGTACTGTCAATATTTGACGGAGAGAAGTCAGTTCAAGAACAACTTACTGACCTGCTGCCAAAATCTGCTCGATGGAAGCTGTCGTTATGCCAATCTGAGGAGCCCCAGCAGGTTTCATCGAACGAATCTTCAAAAGAGCATCTTCCGTGAAAAGTGCTATTGGTTTTTGTAAACTTCTTTGCTTTCAGTTCATCTGGACCGTCTCTGTCACCAGTATATTGTATTTGAACTGTACCAACAGTTGAAATACCACCCATAAAGTCTTCTGAGTCAGCAAATGGAATGCCAAGCCAAAAGTTTGAACGGTCTCTATTTGTATATTGAGTTTTTTGACCTCCTGCATGAGTCCATACTTTCACATATGGCATAATAGAACTTTGCATTTCAGGGTTAATGGTTGTTGTGAAGTTGTTGTTAAAGTTCATAGCATCTAATGTCAAGTTGTATGACCTCATATCTTCAACTGTAGAATATTCTTCTCTTGGATAATATTTGCCATCTATGTTTATATGATATTTAATACCAGGGTTGTAGAAACAAGAATAGTCATTTATAGTTCGTCTGAACAGTACAAACATAGTATCTGCATGTTTCATTGCAGTTGTTAAAGCAATATCTGTTCTTGCACCTGGGTCAGCACTTTGGTTTCCAACTTCACCTGCAAAGTCTTTGACAGATATTTGGTGTATAGGGAACATAAGTGGAACTGCAATATATTTGGCAGCTAAAGCATTTGAAATATCTGGGTCCAACATATAGACTGCAAGTCTGCTTTCTATTCTCTTGCATTCAAATTTTTCGCATGTGAACTTAACTGGGTCCCAAGCAGTTCCAGCAGCATTGAAATAATAGTTTACTTCAGTGTTGAAGTTTGAGAAACCAAAGTCTAAGTCAACTTTGTCTTTGCAAAAGTCACAGAACTTGGCTCCACCAGTTCCAGCTACAGTAAGAGTGAATGGGTCTTGTGTTGGTGCAATGACTAAGTTATTTTTGCTTGGAGTAAGTTCGATAGAAATTTTTCCTGCCCAGTTTGGCAAGTATCTTAAAAACCTGAAGATGAGGAAAGATGACAAAGGAACTCTAAGTTTCAGTTTTACTTTAGTGACAGCATTTCCATCTGAACCAGAAAGGTTAACATAAACTCCTGGAACGTTAGGGTCAAGTCTTCTTATTTTCTCAATGGTGGCATACTGGTCTGTTTGTTCTCTAGCTTGTGGTTGTACTGAGTTTCTCAAAGCGAACCATTCATAGTTTGCCCATGTTACTGTTTGAACTAAGTCAGAGTTAGAATATATCTTATATCCCATGAAAACTTCTGGAGCATATTGGTATCCGACATAGAAAATTCCATTGCAACCTTTCTTGTCAGACAACTTGGCAGAAGGTTTTATTTCAATGTCTTGTTCCACGTATAAGAATGAGTTGTCAATAGAAATAATATGAAACCTGTCGCAAGCAATATCTACTGTTGTTGAAGAACCTTCTCCAAACTCACCTACATTTCCATAAGAAACAGCAGTTGTATATTCGTAAGTTCCAGGAACTATTTCTGACCTTCTAATGGCATTGTCGCATTCGTTATACCATTCGGAAACAT